GTGATATCTACAGCTGAGGTGAATTTACAGAATATATAGCATCATCCTATTTTGTATTTGAACTTCGTAATTTATACTATTTTTGTTAGCAAGAGGAGAAGACGAAATTTGGTACTATCATATTTTGAATTATGGTATTAAAGTATATTGACTATATTAAGTTTCTGTTTGATTAATATTCTGGCATCCAAATTGACTAAGAATCATTGATGAATTTTATCTTGAACAAATGAAAAAAGTCTCTTCCCACCTCATCTTGGCGTTGCCTCTTCTGGAGTCCTTGATGGCGATATGGTACTTAACGTGGAACCCAAACAAGCCTAATGAAACGTCGGTTACTAAATGGTAATTATGAGGTGCTAATCAAATGGAAGAATATTCCCGCTTGCGATAACACATGGGAGGACTGTGCATCCATATGCCGTAGTTTCCTTCCTTCCACCTTGAGGACAAGGTGGCACTCCTTAGGGAGGGTATTGATGGACCTACAATCACCAAGTGGTATAAATTCAAAGCTAAAAAGGGCAAGTAGGGAATCAAGTTGCGAGACAGGTGGCCAAGGATCAACATGAAGGACAGCAAGGGAATCAAGTTGTGGGACAGATGGCCAATAATCAACAGAAGGACAGCAAGGGAATCAAGCTGTGGGAAATGGCCAATAATCAACATGAAGACTGCAAGACAGGTGGCCAGGAATTAATATGAAGGACAGGTAGTCTAACAAGTGGCCTGGGAGATTTTGGAGATCGAAGAATCAACATGAAGAATGGGTGGCTTGACAAGTGGCCTGGGTAGTTGTTAGGAATTGTGAATAAAAGGCTAGACGTGTGTGTATGGTGATATCTTAATATTTGGGAAAAATGAGTCTGGAAGGTACTGGCCTTGAAGTTCAATCTACTCTTTCTTATTTCTGCATTGTTCTTTTTGTACTGAATACTTTTATGAGTATATTAATCCAAGTTGTCTTTTTCTTCTGTTAATTGATTGGTTTGATTATTACTTCTTGTTATTTGTGGATGGAAACCTTGTGTACTGTTGGAATTACGACTGTTTTATTGCTTTTATTTTGTGTTGAGAGTGACAAGATCAAAGGTACTCATCAACGAATGTGTACAAGAGTCATACAAACTAATAAAAATAAATAACAGGTAGTCATTTTATAAATTTTGTACAATTTTTGTTATGACTAGTTGTAAGCAAAATATTATTGAAATAACAATCATCCCATGGGCTAGGGCGAATCGAATAGGGAAATTATCATTGGTTGGGAGCTTAGAACCTGGCAGTAGACCACCCAACATTCAGACGTATTGATATCCCTATTATTAAGAAAATGAGATTGAATGCATAGTCAAGGAAATGTTGGTATCAAACATCATCAAGCCCAATAAAAGCCCTTTCTCAAGCCCGATGTTATTGGTACGAAAGAAATATGGGAGATGGCGGTTCTGTGTCAACTATAGAACCCTGAATAAGATTACTACTCTCAACAAGTTCCCAATTCCAACTGTCGACAAACTGTTCAATGAATTTTTTTTTTTGGGGGGGGGGCATAGTCTTCTCCAAACTTGATCTTAAATCCGGGTACCACCAAATTAGAGTAAGGGAAGGCGACACTCATAAGATAGAATTCTGGAACACACGAAAGGCACTACAAATTCCTAGTTATGTCGTTTGGCCTCTCAAACACTCCATCAACCTTTCAAGCTCTCGTGAACAACATTTTTAAACCTCACTTGCGACAGTTCATTTTAGTCTTTTTCAATGATATCCTCATTTATAACACAAGCTTAAGGGCTCATTTGGATCATTTGGAAAATACCTTTCAGATTTTAGAGCAACATTAGTTGGTTGTTAATAAGAAGAAATGAAAGTTTGCACATTCGCAACTTGAGTACCTCGAACATTTAATTTCGGCTTAGGGGGTTGCTGTTGATCCTGCTAAAATAGAGTGTTTCCAAGCATGGTCGGTTCTCAAAGACATCAAGGCATTACGGGGCTTTTAGGGTTGACAAGCTATTATCGAAAATTTGTGAAGAGTTATAGGGCAAGAGCAAGACCACTAATTGATCTCCTCCGCAAGAATGCATTCCGCTGGACTGAATCAAGACAGTTAGCCTTTGAGCACCTCAAGCAACTCATGACTTCCCTTCCCGTCCTCGCGATGCCAGACTTCTCAAAAACTTTTATCATTGAGACCGACGCTTCGGACCATAGTTTGGGGGCTGCTTTAATGCAAGAAGGCCGACCTTTGGCATTCATAAGTCAAGGATTATCTCCCAAGTCCAGATTGAAGTCAGTTTATGAAAGGGAACTTATGGCAATAGTTTTGGCAGTTCAGAAATGGAAACATTACTTGTTCAGGCGACATTTCATTATTTGGACTGATCAGAAGAGCTTTCATTATCTCAATGATTAGAGGTTGCAAAGGGAACAGCAACAAAAGTGGATTATCAAGCTCCTGGGTTTGGATTTCGAGATTCACTACAAGTCGGGCCTTGAAAATAAAGCTGCTGATGCTCTATCCAAATGAGAATGCCTTGTTGAGTATAATGCAATCTCCACTTGTTGCTTTGGAAATCAACAAGAGTGCGAAGAAGCTATTCAGAAAGATGTAAAACTTCGGAAGATTTGTCAAGAATTGATCATTGACCTCATGAGTCATCCGCACTTCCGACTGGCGGGGAACCAATTATTTTATGATGATAGAATAGTCCTTCCACGATCCTGTTCTTAAGTAAAGCTCCTTCTCCAAGAATTTCATTCTTCATCAATGGGGGACCACTCTAGGTTTTACCACACTTATAAGAGGCTGTCTCAGGTAGTCTACTATGAGGGAATGAAGAGGGATATTCAACTGTTTGTTTGAGATTGTCCTATCTACCAACAAAACAAGAATGATTATCTCAAGCCTGCAGGATTGCTACAGTTGTTGCCTATTCCGTCTAAAGTATGGGAGGATGTCTCCATGGACTTCATAGTGGGTCTCCCAAGGGCCCATCAAGTCAACACCATCCTAGTGGTGATAGATCGTTTTACCAAATACAGTCATTTCATTGCTCTATGCCATCCTTTTTCAGCCAAAGATGTGGTCACCCTTTTTCTCACTGAGGTAGTTAAACTACATCGATTTCCCCGAACCATTGTATCTGATCGGGACAACCTATTTATGAGCGGGTTTTGAGGAGAATTATTTAAATTGTCAGGTACCAAGCTCCACATGAGTACAGCTTACCATCTTCAATCTGACACCCAAACTGAGGTCGCCAATCGATGTCTCGAGACGTACTTAAGGTGCTTCGTGAGTGATCAGCCCAAACAATGGCCTCAGTGGCTTGCTTGGGTCGAGTATTGGTTCAACACCACCTACAATAGATCAATGACGATGACTCCATTCAAGGCACTCTACGGCAGGGATCCACATACCCTACTCAAGTATTCTGAACATAGCTCAGTAGTGGACGCCATGGATGAACTCCTATCTGAACAAAACTTGATATTGGAAGAGTTAAAAGGTAATCTAGAAAGGGCTCAAAACGCAATGAAAATGTGCGTAGATGGTAAACGACGGGAACTCCTATTGGAGATCAGGGATTTGGTTGAGGTTGCGACCATACAGGCTAAAGTCTTTAGTATGGAGGCCTAATGAAAAGCTTAGCCCTCGGTTTTATGGTCCCTATGAAGTCATTGAGAAGATTGGATTAGTAGCTTACAGATTGAAGCTCCCACCTATAGCCAGAATTCATGATTTTTTTCATGTATCACAACTGAAAAAAGTCTCTTCCCACCTCATCTTGGCGTTGCCTCTTCTGGAGTTCCTTGATGGCGATATGGTACTTAACGTGGAACCCAAACAAGCCCTAATGAAACGTCGGTTACTAAATGGTAATTATGAGGTGCTAATCAAATGGAAGAATATTCCCGCTTGCGATAACACATGGGAGGACTGTGCATCCATATGCCGTCAGTTTCCTTCCTTCCACCTTGAGGACAAGGTGGCACTCCTTAGGGAGGGTATTGATGGACCTACAATCACCAAGTGGTATAAATTCAAAGCTAAAAAGGGCAAAGTAGGGAATCAAGTTGCGAGACAGGTGGCCAAGGATCAACATGAAGGACAGCAAGGGAATCAAGTTGTGGGACAGATGGCCAATAATCAACATGAAGGACAGCAAGGGAATCAAGCTGTGGGACAAATGGCCAATAATCAACATGAAGGACTGCAAGACAGGTGGCCAGGAATTAATATGAAGGACAGGTAGTCTAACAAGTGGCCTGGGAGATTTTGGAGATCTGAAGAATCAACATGAAGAATGGGTGGCTTGACAAGTGGCCTGGGTAGTTGTTAGGAATTGTGAATAAAAGGCTAAGACGTGTGTGTATGGTGATATTCTTAATATTTGGGAAAAATGAGTCTGGAAGGTACTGGCCCTTGAAGTTCAATCTACTCTTTCTTATTTCTGCATTGTTCTTTTTGTACTGAATACTTTTTATGAGTATATTAATCCAAGTTGTCTTTTTCTTCTGTTAATTGATTGGTTTGATTATTACTTCTTGTTATTTGTGGATGGAAACCTTGTGTACTGTTGGAATTACGACTGTTTTATTGCTTTTATTTTGTGTTGAGAGTGACAAGATCAAAGGTACTCATCAACGAATTGTACAACTGAGTCATACAAACTAATAAAAAATAAATAACAGAGTAGTCATTTTACATAAATTTTGTACAATTTTTGTTATGACTAGTTGTAAGCAAAATATTATTGAAATAACAATCATCCCATGGGCTAGGGCGAAGCTAGGAAATATCATTTGTTGGGGGTGGGTAAATTCTAATGAACGAGGACTGAGGAGGGTTAAGTGAAAAATTAAATTCAGGAAATTGGGCGAGCTAAAATAGCATTCAAACATTGTAAGGGGCTGAAAAAAATCATTATATTAAAGGGATGAAATTTGAAATTTCACAGATATACAGTTCTTTCTCAGCGTATGAGATTTGATCGAAAACAGGCTGAAGAGAAGACGAAATCAACAGGTGCTATATGTTTGAGTCCAAAAAATATTTTAGTTTTGGTGAAGAGAAGACTGTTGGTGTTATCATGTGAAGAAGATGAGGGGAAAAGAGAAAATAATGAACTGAGATGAGAGGCCAAACTAAAGAGGTCTTCTCTAAAAAAGAGGTCCTTTTTCATCTCCACCTGATTTCTTTGGCCTCTTAAATTCAGCCAAGTTGTGGGAAACATGGAGGGTCATTATCCTCAAAAGCAAAGAGAAAGTGATTCTAAGCATCAGATGAAAAAGGAGCTAAAAGATGAGTATAAGTTTTGTCTTATAATGCTCTCATAACCATGCCAAATTAAATATCTTTCACAGTTTATTTATACCAACCGTCAAAATTTCATAAGAAACTCTCAAGCGACACGTTTAATCTTCTTTTTCATTCGATTGTGGTGGGTCATTCCTTTTTATCCTGAGGTGGGACTTGATTACAACTTACAGGTTTTCATTCATCTTTATTATTAACTCAATTTTATATGATAGAGATTTCGCAAGGATTAAAGTTACAAGGCGAATTTCATTTGCAGGCTAAAATCGATCGATCAACCCATTCGGTATGTTATTTTAACTTTAATAATTAGTTACCCTACAATAATTATGTAATGAATCTCTTTTTGGTTAAATGTTAATGGAATGATCTGGCAAGTTATCTATGTTCTTCATTAATCTGTACATATGCTGATAGTTGATAGAGATTTTACAAAAATGTGAAGATCTAAATCTACTATGTCAGGTGAATTTTGAGGATAAAAATTTTCCAATTATACTTTTTTATCTGTATTATGAACTCTAATTTTATGTGATAGAGATTTTGCAAAGATCAATATGTTCAGCATGATATTTTAACTTCAATAATTATGTAATGAATCTCTTTTTGGTTTTACATTAACGGAACAATTTGGCAAGTTATTTATGTCCATAATCTGTATATATGCTCATAGGTAATAGAGATTTTGCAAATATATGAAGATCATTTCGAGGATATAATATTCCCATTTCTGCTTATGAATGACATCAATTAGAAAATTGATTAATTATTTGTCAAATACTTAATGTTGTCAATGTTTATCTTCTGATTTTACCTCTAACAACCTCTTACTTTGATCAATATATGTGTAAGGGATAGTCAGGTGGAATTCTCATCAGCAGCATTCCTGGATATGTTCTGTTGACACACAAGGTATGAAAAACTAATTTTTATGCTTTAGATTGATTCTTCAGTAATGTCGTTCTGGTGTAGCTTAGCAACTATATATATATGTCACTGTGTATAGCACATCTTATCTGAATATGTATACATCTAACATTCATATAAAATGGAGTCAAAAGATTGCTTGAAAAACAGGGCCATACTTTTAAACCCACCTCTGAAACCAATAGTTGAATCAAGTGCACCCAAGAAATTACATTAAAACTTTTTAAGATCAAGGATGTGCCACAATTATGATGTTCTAGTTGTACCAATTACACAAATTATAATTAAAGGATGCGAATTTGTATCTTTGATCTATCAGAGTTTGGACTAAAATGTGTTCTCTTACTTGATTATGAAGCTTGGCTTTGCAAATTTTGACTCAAGCTCGTAAGTGATATCTACAGCTGAGGTGAATTTACAGAATATATAGCACCATCCTATTTTGTCTTTGAACTTTGTAATTTATATTATTTTTGTTAGTAAGAGGAGAAGACGAAATTTGGTACTATTATATTTTGAATTATGGTATTAAAGTATATTGACTATATTAAGTTTCTGTTTGATTAATATTCTGGCATCCAAATTGACTAAGAATCATTGATGAATTTTATCTTGTTATTTTTCCTTTGCAGGATGTTGCTATTCTGTCAAAATGGAGTGTCATTTGCTTCATATATCAGTGAGAGATAGTCAAGTGAAGTTCTATAGAGATTCAAAGATAAATGCTTCCAAAGGTAAATAAAGAGAGCCCATAACGTTTTTACTTCTCTCATCATGAAGTTATTAGTTGTGAAAAAGTTACGTGTATTCACTCATTTCATATATGCCATATGAAGATCTAAATCTCTAAAATTTATGATCATCCACTTTCAATATTTTAATTAAATTATTTGTTTACAATTCTAAATAAAAGATTAAAAAAAAAATGCATATATTGAATGATGATTAGTAAATATCAGCAGTGATAACATTATGTGGTATTTCAATTTTACTTTAAATTATCTCTCTCAGGAAGTGGCTTGACTTGCCAAATTGATGATAACATAAAGTTTACCATTGTTTTTAAGGCAATTAAACAATACTAGACCTGTCTAAAATTGTAGAGCAAGGGCTTACTGTCTACATATAACAATGCTTTATAACTTTCTTCTTTGAACATTAATTTGCTTGTAACTAATGCTCATCCGTTTCCTTTCTTGTCTTACTTTTTGCAGCTGAGGGCCAGGTCAAGCTAGGTGCTTGAAGCCGCTTGTTTTATTCAAAGCCTGTAATTTCACCATTACTTAAAGAGCAAGGTGTTCAAAATTTCTCCTCATTCTTGCTCGATCATTTTTTTTTTTTTTTTTTTTTTTTTTTTTTTGATATCATAATATCACCAACTTTTGATATCATATCAGATGGAACTAGTGACACCTGATGTGAAAACTATTTTATCGAAGATTGGAGGAAACATGATCGGTTAACCAACCGCCATGGCCATTATCTATTCAATTTCAACCCCATTGTCAAAGATTTTATGGAAGTATCAAAATTGGAATTCATGCATGATCGTGTCAACAAGATGTTGAATGTGCACAGAATACTGAGATGATTGAGAAAGATGTGCAAACTGGCTAAAGATGTAAGCCAAGTTGTGAATGATATTCAGAAGTTAAGAAGAAATAGAAGGAAGAAGACAATTCTTGGTGGGTGGTGTCCTAAATGGATTTGCGATATCGGTTGAGTAGAAGAAGAAGAGAAAAGAAGCATTATGTCCAATCTACGGGAAAGTGCAAATTGACAAAGTCTCCTATCCTACCACGTTCCCAGGATAAATTTTCACCCCTAAAGAATTTCAGCTTTTCAAGTCCACGGAACCTGTTTTTTATCAGATTATTGAGGCACTAAAAGATGATGATCCATATCATTGGATTGTATGGGATGGGCGGAGCCGGTAAGACAACTTTGGCAAAAGCGGTGGGTAGAAAGTCAAAGATGAGGAATATTGATGAGTTTTGATCATTGTTGTGTCCCAAGCTTCGAACTTTAAAAGTATTCAAAGTGACCTTGCAAATCTTTGGGTATGAAATTGGAGAGGAAGCGAAGAAGCAAGCAAAGCGTTTGTACTTGAGATTTATGGAGACTAAAAAGAAGATCCTCATAATCTTAGTGATGTTGGAAAAACTTTGACTTGAAATCTAAATAGGACTTCCTTTTGGCAATGATCTCAAGGGATGCAAAATCCTTCTAACTACTCGTAGAAAAAACGTATGTATTGGTATGAGATGTCAACAACGGATTCTTTTGAATGAATTGGATGAAGGTGAAGGGTTGTCTTTACTTAAAAAGCATGCAGGTATAGATGATGAATTCCATCCCTTGAATGATGTAGCAATTAAAGTTGCTAAAGAGTGCAAGGGTTTGCCATTAGCAATTGTAACTATTGGAAGTGCTTTAAAAGAAAAAGGTATTGATGAATGGAAACTTGTATTTGAGAAATTAAAAAAGTCAAAACTTGTGGATATGTGTAAGGACATTGATGTGGATGAGGATGTCTATGCTATTCTCAAGGTCAGTTATGATTATTTGGAGGGTAAAGAAACCAAGTTATGTTTCTTGTTATGTTCGCTATTTCCTGAAGATTATGAAATTCCTTTGGAGGAATTGGCTAAATGTGGAATGGGGCTAGGTTTATTTTCATATGCTGACTCAATTGAACAAGCAAGGAGTCAATTGCGAGTGATAGTTAATAAACTCAAAGCTTCTTGTTTGTTGATAGATGCTAGTGATGAAGAACTTGTGAAAATGCATGATGTGGTTCGTGATGTTGCATTGGGAATTGCATCTATAGGAGAGAATTCGTTCATGGTTAAAGCTGGCTTAGGATTGACTGAATGGCCAAAGGAGGAAAAACACCTTGAACAATACACAGCAATCTCCTTAATGGCCAACAAACTACTTGTGCTTCCTGATCATGTGGTATGTCCAAAGCTTGAAACTTTTTTATTGTCTCGGCAATACTGTCATTACCGTGATTACAATATTGAAGTTTCAAACCATTTTTTTCAAGAGATGAAAGCATTAAAAAATTTAACTCTAAGTTATGTGAACTTGTCATTAAAATCACTTACATTCTTGACAAATCTCATATTTCTAGAGTTGATTGATTGCAATTTGAGAGACATCTCTTCCCTCAAACATCTTATTAGACTTGAGATTCTTAGTTTAAGAAATTCATTATTTGATGAATTCCCAAAGGAACTAGGGGCACTTACTGAATTAAGATTGTTGGATTTGCGTACCTTTTGTCAGTTAAAAAAACTTTCTTCCAATGTCATACAGAGATTTTCTCAGCTAGAAGAGTTATATGTCGGTGACTGCTTTGATAAATGGGAAGATGAAAGGACAAGAGTGAAAGGAAGCAATGCTAGTCTTTCTGAGTTCAAATCTCTATCCAAATTGGTCGTTCTATTTTTGGAAACAAATACTAAATGCCTTCCAAAAGACTTTGGCTTTGTCTGTAACAAATTGCTAAGGTATGACATAAGTGTAAACACTTATACAGATTGTCATGTATCAGAATCAAGGAAAAAAGCTTTAACAATCAAAGATATTGAAGCACCCTCACTGATTACATTTAAAGCTTTGTCTCCTACCCTCGAATATCTCTGTTTGAAAGAAGTGACAGGCTGTGAAAATATCCTCCCAAGCATTGACAAAGGGGGATTAAATAAGTTGAATTCACTTGTGCTTGAAGATTGTAAAGATTTGAAATGCATCATAGATACCTTCCAAATGCAAGTGCCAAATCCTACCTTCTCTAATTTGGTGAAATTATCTCTTACAAGGTTAAATCTTCTCAGAGAAATATGTTGTGGTCCATGTGGAAAGCTTCAGAGTCTTACAAATTTAAAAGTGAGAGAGTGCAAAAGTTTGACTTGTCTCTTCACTTTGTCACTTGCTCGAAGTTTGGTGCAATTGAAATCACTAGAATTAAGTGATTGTGAGAGTTTGAAGCATTTGTTCATGAGAGAGGAAGTTGATAATGACAGGGGAAAGGAAATATTATCAGAATCTAATCATGTCGCAATTGTGCTCCCAAATTTAGAAAAGTTAAGCATTGAAAAATTACCACAATTGAGGTGTATATGGAAGGGGCCGACCTATCATGTAAACCTTAAAAATCTCATAGATGTTAAAGTGAGAGAATGCAAAAGCTTAACTTATCTATTCACTTTGTCACATGTTCGGAGTTTAGTACAGTTGAAATCACTCGAAGTGCATGGTTGTGAGAACTTAGAGCATCTAGTCATAACAGAAGAGGTTGATAATGACGAGGGAGAGGACATGCGGTCAAAATATGATCATTACATCCAATATACTTTCTTGTCAAATTTAGAATCTCTCCAAATAAATTCATGCGAAAGATTGGAATATATTTTTCCGATCTCTGTTGCACGAGTTCTTGTACAACTTCAGATGCTTACCATAGAAAATGCCCCTCAGCTAAAGCAAGTCTTTTTTGGGGATCATGGAAGAGAAGAAGGAGATGGAAAAGAAATTGCAGTCATCGAGTTCGCTCAGTTAAAAGTACTAAAACTTTATGGACTTGCAAACATCATTAGATTCTGCCCAGAAAATTATCATTCAATTTGGCCAGCTTTGGAAGATTTCAAGATGGATCGGTGTTCCTATTTGAGTACATCTTTCATTGCTGAAGTTGTAGCTAAAGTGCGAAACCAAGAAGAGGTATTTTGTTAATCTTTTTTTTTTCTAAGTGAAAATGTCAAGTTTATCTTATACTGATTGCCTTTTTATTTAATTATATTTTGACTTTTTGTTAAAAACTAATAGATTATTGAGAATTTGTCCTGTTGTCAGTCCTAATAAAAATAACAGTACCTTAACTTTTAAATAAATCTGGCATGACTTGTTTCTTTGTTATTACTATTTCATTTTCCTCTTAATAAAATTATCGCCATTTGTTTTATCCAGAAATTGCGAATTCTGTGCATTGGAAGTTGCAATCAGTTATGTGACATAGTTCTATCTGGGTTGAAAGATGGCTTCTTCAAAAATTTGGAAGAATTAAGTATATACAGTAACGGAGTAAATGTGGTTTTTCAACTGCAAGGTCTTGTCACTGATAGACAGCATATTTTATCACTCCCAAATTTGAAGACACTGAGGTTGTACTATTGGCAAGAACTAGAAGGTTTATGTAAGAGTCCAGCACATCTTTTAAGCCTGGAGAATCTTATCACTTTAGATCTTGACCACTGCAATAGGCTGAGAAATATCTTCACACCTTCTCTTGCTAGAAATTTGTTGCGGTTACAAACTCTATATGTCTATGATTGTGAAGAATTGAAGGAAATCATTGCTGAAGACGATGAAGAGGATCAATCTGTACTGAAGGATAATCTCCAACCTCTGTTCTTTCAAAATCTCTTGGAAATCATTGTTGTAAGGTGCCCCAAATTAAGACGTTTATTTCCTGTCACCATGGCCCAAGGTCTTCAAGAGCTGGAAAAGATATTTGTATTTGATAACTCTCAATTTGAAGAAGTATTTGGACATGAAAATGTAGCTGGCATCATGGACCACAAAAGAATCGTGTTGCGGCAACTTAATTGGTTATCACTGAAGGCATTGCCAAGCCTTACCAACTTCTGCCAAGAGGGTTATCACTTCATATTTCCATCTATGAGTTCAAAGTTGGGTTCGGTATTGATAGTTAAAGATTGTCCCAAGATAGCTACAAGATTTTCCTTGGGTGAGGATAAATCTGTGCATGCTGAGGCTAAGGTACTTACAAATTTTCAAATCATCCACTCAGTAAATGTTGACATATGTTGTTGTTAACCATCATATTTAAAGAATTTGGGGTCAAAATTTTGCTGATTCTTCTTATTAGTAATGGAGTTGGCCCAAAATTTTAATTTCATTTNTTGGCCAGCTTTGGAAGATTTCAAGATGGATCGGTGTTCCTATTTGAGTACATCTTTCATTGCTGAAGTTGTAGCTAAAGTGCGAAACCAAGAAGAGGTATTTTGTTAATCTTTTTTTTTTCTAAGTGAAAATGTCAAGTTTATCTTATACTGATTGCCTTTTTATTTAATTATATTTTGACTTTTTGTTAAAAACTAATAGATTATTGAGAATTTGTCCTGTTGTCAGTCCTAATAAAAATAACAGTACCTTAACTTTTAAATAAATCTGGCATGACTTGTTTCTTTGTTATTACTATTTCATTTTCCTCTTAATAAAATTATCGCCATTTGTTTTATCCAGAAATTGCGAATTCTGTGCATTGGAAGTTGCAATCAGTTATGTGACATAGTTCTCTCTGGGTTGAAAGATGGCTTCTTCAAAAATTTGGAAGACTTAAGTATATACAGTTACGGAGTAAATGTGGTTTTTCAACTGCAAGGTCTTGTCACTGATAGACAGCATATTTTATCACTCCCAAATTTGAAGACACTGAGGTTGTACTATTGGCAAGAACTAGAAGGTTTATGTAAGAGTCCAGCACATCTTTTAAGCCTGGAGAATCTTATCACTTTAGATCTTGACCACTGCAATAGGCTGAGAAATATCTTCACACCTTCTCTTGCTAGAAATTTGTTGCGGTTACAAACTCTATATGTCTATGATTGTGAAGAATTGAAGGAAATCATTGCTGAAGACGATGAAGAGGATCAATCTGTACTGAAGGATAATCTCCAACCTCTGTTCTTTCAAAATCTCCTGGAAATCATTGTTGTAAGGTGCCCCAAATTAAGACGTTTATTTCCTGTCACCATGGCCCGAGGTCTTCAAGAGCTGGAAAAGATATTTGTATTTGATAACTCTCAATTTGAAGAAGTATTTGGACATGGAAATGTAGCTGGCATCTTGGACCACAAAAGAATCGTGTTGCGGCAACTTAATTGGTTATCACTGAAGGCATTGCCAAGCCTTACCAACTTCTGCCCAGAGGGTTATCACTTCATATTTCCATCTATGAGTTCAAAGTTCGGGTCAGTATTGATAGTTAAAGATTGTCCCAAGATAGCTACAAGATTTTCTTTGGGTGAGGATAAATCTGTGCATGCCGAGGCTAAGGTACTTACAAATTTTCAAATCCTCCACTCAGTAAATGTTGACATATGTTGTTGTTAACCATCATATTTAAAGAATTTGGGGTCAAAATTTTGCTGATTCTTCTTATTAGTAATGGAGTTGGCCCAAAATTTTAATTTCATTTCTTTTTTCTTCATATTTGCTGCTTGTTTTTTGAAATGCCCCAAAACACTTATTATTACATTCGCATTTTATGCTTCCATTAATTGGTTCTGTAGGCAAGGAAATTACGTAAGCCTTACATCGAGATCGAATGCTATTCTGATCAAATACGACAAAGATTACCGCCATATGTATAAAAGGATGAGAAAGGTTATCACCCAACAGGAGGAAACTTGAAACATGCTCATGACTGCTTACCAGGTAATTTGACTCTATTTAATTTGATATTTTCTGTCTTCTTTTAGCTTTTAAATTTGGTAGTTCATCCTAAAGCACTTTATTGTATAATCAAACAAGAACACTCCTCTGAATATATATTAGCTGCACAAAAATTATCATACAACTGTCTCTGCTAGTGGGAATACCCGAAGTAAACATATCTTCAAAATTTAAAACTACGATAAAGAATAGTTATTACAGTTGAATGTGTTTATAATGCCATAATTAACAAGAGGCTTTGGGTTCTGTATATGGGCAGGCTTCTGTATAAACCTTGCTCAAACAATCACACATAAGTCAACTAATTATTCTATTGATTGAATTTTTTAATTTATTTTACAGTCAAACTCCACTGAATCCAAAGAAGAATTTTGGTCTGTTTGTTTGAGGGGAAGTAGAGAAAGCACTACGAAAAATCCAACTCTCTTCAATTTGATATTCTTGCCGCTACATCTAAACAATATTGCTCAATTTCATTTGTTATGTTTTTTATTTTTAATTCTTCTGTCGGCCACAAGAAAACCTCTTATGTTAAGCATTGAACCTTTTTTTAAGTGAGGCTGATGAGTTGATATTTGCATGCGCATATATATATATTTGAAAGTGATTCTCTCACTTCTTTTTTCACCTTTTGTTATTGTGTTGATGTGGCATTGATTTATGCTTATGTGGAGTCAAAGTTTTTAAACTTTAGTCAGAGGCAATTTAGAAGAAAGAAAGGGACAGTTCTGTAATTTTCCTTTTGGGATATTTGTTGTGCCTTATCTCGACACTTTTATTTTAGTCTCTGGATTGTTCTCTCTTGGTTACAAAGAGAGAAAGTTGTTGAAGGAATCATCAAGATGGAGCTTTGGCATTCCTAGGATGAGATCAACGATGGTGATGAGATTTCTTTGTAACTGATTTTATTCCTTTTCTTCTTGTATAAATTTCTGATTAATTCTATGTATTTGTATGTGAGAGGTGTGAGACACATGGGAGCAATCTAGGGTGGTTTACAGAGGGGAGTTGTCACTGGGTTCTTGGTGTAAAACTGACTTACAAACTCTGTAAGGTTTCTCTTCATAGTGTATGTTTTCTACTGCCCTGAAGAGTGGATGTAGGTAATCAATCTGATTACCGAACCACTATAAATCTATGTGTATGCTCTTTATTGTTTATGCTCTTATTTTCTTTATATCTCTATCTTGCTGTGAATGTTTTGGTTACTTTAGAACTTAGGTTTTCTAAATTGGACAATCTCTAAGTTTAATAAGTGGTATCAAAGTCACGTTAGGTCTGGAATTAGAGATTGTTCGAATTTGGGTTTGTCTAGGGTTAGATCTAAATTTGGTTACTGTTCTTGATTTAGGGTTTATTCTAGGTCTTGAATTTTTTTGGGGTTTTCGCATCTCCTGGTAACTGAGGAAGTAGTAAACCTAGATATGTCTAAGTTCGAAATAGAGAAGTTCACAAGTGATAATGATTATGGGTTGTGGAAGATGAAAATGAGGGTTGTCTTAGTTAAGGATGGGTTATCAACTACCTTAGAGGCTAAGGATAGCTTACCAGAATCTTTAACTGAAAAAGAGAAGAAAGATCTTTTAGATAAGGCTCACAATACCTTAATTTTAAGATTAGGAGACAAAGTTTTGAGAGAGGTAAAGAAAATGACCACACCAGCAGGGGTTTAGGAAAAACTAGACTCCTTATATCTATCTAAGTCTTCCCCTAATAGATTAGTTTTAAAACAGAAATTCTTTGGTTTTAAGATGGATGAGGGAAAGTCATTAGGTGATAATATGAATGACTTTATGAAATTAGTGCAAGACTTAGAAGGTCTGAGTGTTAAAGTAGAAGATGGGGACTAAGCTGTTATCCTCATAAACTCCCTACCCAAAATGTACTCTAACTTTGTTGATACCCTAAAATATGGTAGGCAAACCCTTAAACTAGATGAGGTTGTGGTTGCAATTACTACAAAAGATGTTGAGTTTAAGAAAGAAGGTAAACTAGATGGTGAGGGGTTATATGTGAGAGGAAGATCTGAAAAGAAAGGTCATAAGAAAGGGAGTTTTAGGGGTAGATCAAAGTCTAAGTCAAAATTTGTTAGAAAATGCTTCCATTGTCATAAGGAAGGTCATTTTAAGAGGGACTGTCCTGATAGGAAGAAAAAATCAGGGGAAAAAGATGCTAGTGGGAGTGTAGATGTAGCTTCTGATGGGTATGAGAGTTCTGATGTGTTGCTAGCCTCAGAAAATGAAATTGATGCTGAATGGATACTTGATTCTGGTTGTTCTTTCCACATGACTCCAAATAGGAGTTTTCTGTCAAACTTTAGAAAACTAGAGTTTGGAAAAGTTTTGATGGGCAACAATGCAATTTGTAAAGTCTTAGGAATAGGAGATGTAAGGCTGAATTTGCATGATGGTAGTTCAAAATGGCTCACAGATGTTAGATACATACCAGAGCTGAAAAGAAATTTAATTTCTCTAGGAAGTCTAGATTCAATTGGCTATAGCTATAAGGCTCAAGGTGGAGTCCTTAAAGTTATTAAAGGATCCTTAGTTGTAATGAAGGGTGAGAAGAAGAATGGGTTGTATGTTCTAAACGGTTCAACCATCACTAGAACAGTAGTTGTATCTTTATCTCAGAAGTCCGATAGGACAACTTTATGGCATAGAAGGTTAAAGCATGTTAGTGAAAAAGGACTAGTTGAGTTGAGTAAGCAAAAGGTTCTAGGAGGGGATAAAGTAGAGAAGCTAGATTTATGTGATCATTGCATCTATGGGAAGATGAGCACAATTAGATTCAGTGTGGGAAAACACTGTTCTAAAGCTAATCTTTTCCCACACTGAATCTAAAGCTATCTTAGATTATATCCATTCTGATGTGTGGGGGCCAACTAAATATCCATTTTTGGAAGGTTGTAAGTATTTCATTAGCATCATAGATGATTACTCTAGGAGAGTATGGATCTATTTCTTGAAAAATAAGGGAGAAGCTTTTGGTAAGTTCAGGGAATGGAAAGTTATGATTGAGAGCCAGACAGGAAAGAAAATTAAGAACTTGAGAACTGATAACGGTTTAGAATTCATAAATGAAGAGTTTGATAAACTGTGTAAGGATAGTGGAATCTTAAGACATAGGATAGTTAGATATACTCCACAACAAAATGGGTTAGCTGAAAGGATGAATAGGACTATATTGGAGAAGGTTAGAAGCTTGTTGTCTTGTGCCAAACTTCCTACTAAGTTCTTGGCTGAAGCTGCTCATACAGCAATGTTTCTTATCAATAGAATTCCTTCCTCAGCTATAGAGTTTAAAACACCCATTGAGAGATGGACAGGACATCCAGCTGATTATGGTAGCTTGAGAGTTTTTGGTTGCACTATCCTTGTGCATGACAAATCTGATAAGTTGCAACTTAGAGCCATTAGATGTATTTTCATAGGTTATCCTGATGGAGTAAAAGGGTATAAGTGTTGGGATGTTGCTAGGAAAAGATGCATAATCAGTAAGGATGTCAGATTTAATAAAGAAGAATTGAGTGGCTTGAATGAAAAGACTAATAAGATGAATTATGAAATAATTAGGTTTGAAATGAATGGAGAAGCTCCTTCTGACAATTCTGGCAATCTGCAACCAGAATATCAGTAAGGAGATTTATAAACTCAAGAGGAAGAATATGTGTTAGAGGAGAATGAAAATGATTCAGTTTATGATGAAGAAACTGAATTGGAGAATTACTAGTTAGCTAGAGATAGGCAAATGAGAGAAATTAGGTTGCCTAGGAGGTTTTCACAAGTTGACATGGTTGCCTTTGCATTTCAAGTTGCTGAAGAAATAGAAGATGAACCTAAAACTATTAGGGAAGCTATGGAAAACAGAGAATCTAAGCAGTGGAGGTTAGCTATGCAAGAGGAATATGAATCTTTGATGAAGAATAAGACTTGGGTTCTTATTAGGAAACCTGAAGGGAGTAGAGTTGTTAATTGCAAATGGGTTTTCAAAAGGAAGGAATGAATTCCAGGGATAGAAGCTCCTAGATTTAAAGCTAGGTTGGTTGCTAAGCGCTTTACACAAGTTGAAATGGTAGATTATACTGAAATTTTTTCACCTGTGGTAAGGCACACTACCATTAGGGTTCTACTGTCCTTAGTAGCTCAATTTGAACTTGAATTAGGGCAACTTGATGTCACAACAGCATTATTGAATGGTGATCTGGAAGAAAAGATCCTAATGGAGCAATCTGAAATGTTTGAAAAAGGTGCAAGAAATCAGGTATGTTTGTTAAAGAAGTCCTTGTATGAACTAAAACAGTCTCCTAGGCAATGGTATAAAAAATTTGACAGTTTCATGATCCTTTTTGGTTTCAAAAGAAGTAAGTTTGATAGCTGCCTTTATTTCAAATGTTTATATGACGATTGCTATCTTTACTTAGCACTTTATGTTGATGACATGTTGTTGACTTGTAAAGATGTTGATAAAATTGCTAAGGTAGAAATGAACAAACAGTTTGAAATGAAAGATTTGGGGCAAGCTAAGAAAATCCTAGGAATGAACATAGAGAGAGATAGAAAAACAGGGAGGATTATTCTATCTCAAAAGGAGTATGCTGAGAAAGTTATTAGAAGGTTTAATATGCTTAATTGTAAACCTGTCAAAACACCAATGAGGCAACATATTAAATTAAGCTTGAATCAGTGTCCTAGTTCAGAGGATGAGAGAAAGGAAATTATTAATATCCCTTATGCTAATGCAATAGGAAGTCTAATGTACCTTATGGTCTGTACAAGACCTGATTTAGCCTTTGCAGTAAGCTATGTTAGCATATTCATGAGTAATCTTGGAAAACCTCATTGGGAAGCAGTGAAATGAATCCTAAGGTATATTAGGGGAACAATGTCAACAGGAATTGTGTATAGTAAAGAGAAAAACTTGCTGGATTTCATTGTGGGGTGTGTAGATGCTAATTATGCTGGAAATCCTGATAATAGGAAATCCATGACAAGCTTTATTTTCTCTTTATGGAATAATTTGGTTTGTTGGAAAGCTAATTTGCAAGCTATTATGACTCTATCAACTACAAAAGCTGAGTATTTGGCGATTATAGATGCTGTCAAGGAAGCATTTTGGCTCAAGGGAATGCTTAGTGAGCTGGGATTTAATCAGGCTCAAGTTCCAATCAAGAGTGATAGCCAAAGTGCTATATTCCTATGCAAAAACCAAACCTTTCATGAAAGGTCCAAACACATTGATGTGAAGATGCACTTCATCAGAGATATGATTGAAGAAAAGATTATTAAGGTGGAGAAAATTCTTGGGAAAGAGAATCCAATAGATATGTTTACCAAAGTTGTTACTTTGGATAAACTAATGCTCTTCAAGAGCCTGCTCCAGATTGAGTAAGAATGAAGGAAATTTCCAGGGTAGTAGGGGATGAAGAAATCAGATGCCAAGGTGGAGATTTGTGCTGATGTGGCATTGATTTATGCTTATGTGGAGTCAAAGTTTTTAAACTTTGGTCAGAGGCAATTTAGAAGAAAGAAATGGACAATTCTGTAATTTTCCTTTTGGGATATTTGTTGTGCCTTATCTCGA